AAAACAGCATGAATGGAATTATTTTTCTTAATTACTCGATGCACATAAAATTAAATCGACATTGATGATGACGACGAACATTGGTTTATTTAAATCGTATTATTTATATATGTACTGATGAAACACGTGTACTTGTACACTTCATAGAGATGCAGTTGTAAATTGTTGGTGGTGAACGACTTACCGTAACGTACGGTATTAAATTATATATACGTATTCAAAAGTACCTTAGAAATGCTGCCTTTTGGTAAAAGTCGCCGCAGATTTTTGCTTTTGTTCATTTTCTGAAAAAACAGTATCCGGTCTCTCGATAGATATCCATTGAATTCAACTGCATCGCAGTATTGTACACATGTATACAGATGCAAACGAGCAACGAAAGATATGTTTGTATATTTTCTGAATCATTGCTATTTATAATAATGAACTATTTTAAGGAAGATTTCGTCGCTCGTTTGTGAATCAGTTACCAAATTTGATACACGGTTAAGAACATCGTTTCAGTTTTACAGATACAGCTGATTTATTAATAAAGGCAGCACTTCTATTCGCGAGAATAGTGAAAGCGTCACCTTCGTTGTTGCTTTGTTTAAAATTGATAGTAGAAGCATTTGTTAAGCGATATTGTACATAATGCATTTTTTTATTTTGTAATTGTCCATCGAAAGATTATTTACCTTTTCTCTTTCTCTGTTTTCTTTTAACCATTTGAATGCCAGGAATAGTCACAAAAAAATGTTTGAAAAATGCTAAACAGCACGTTAGCGCGCTTTTACTGTTCCACTTAGGAAAGTCCTAAGCGACAGTATTCGAGCATACCGTTGATGGACCTATTATGGTAATAAGGTAGCACTTCTCGACATGTAACAGCGACAGTGTGATTATGCCATATGACACTTAAACGGTTAAAATAAAATGCATACCACAGTTTGCTGGTGTGAGTTGAAATAAAAGCAAACGAAAGAGGAATTGTTAATCGGATAGGATAGATACAGACCACAGTTTTTACCTCCTTGCAGGCAAGATTATGAATAATTGCTGCGCCACGAATTTGCAAGTCGACCGAGTTCGAAAGTAACGAATGCACTGCAACTTTGGTCGTCACACTTATGTTACTGATATTCTGTGTTTGATGCTGCCATTCGGATATATACAACAGCCATTCCGAACTGCTGAGATTTTCGAACATGTTTGCCAACTATAATACATGAACGAAATTAAAAACTTGTAAAATACATGGGTAATACACAACACGATATTAATTAGCTTACAAATTGTGCAAGAGGAAGTTGTTCTTCTGGAGGATGACGATCAATATGGAAGGCATAATTCATAATTATATGTTCCCTTCTATCCTGATGCAGTAAAAGAATTACATCGTCTTTTAAAGCAGCAACAGAAAGTATGTTCAGTAATTTTACCCTCGTGTCGCTTGCCAAAGATTTATCGTACAAAATTCGTCCTAAATACAGCGTTATCTTCGATAAGTACCATTTCAATGAAGAACATCGTTGTTTATCGACTCACCTACGAAATTTAGGAAGTTATCCCCGAGTGCCCAAGAACCCTCATTCTCTAAAACGTATTGTCGAAGTTCGTCCATGCATACACGTTCTTCTTCGTTCAACTTCCCGTCCAACAATTTAGTTAACGCCTGGTATTCCCCTCTGACATCCACTAAGTCCTTAAACACTATAGGAGGATCTCGACGACGTTTCTTCTCTTCTTGTTCCTTCTTCTCCTCTTCCTCCATTTGCATAACCCTATCCGATGGTAACAACTCTGCACTTCCACCGTTCGAAGATTGCATTTCACTCATGCTTACTGCACCTAAATTTACGTTAAAAGCAGACCCATAAAAGAAATGCTAAATACGATCCAGACTTATCTTACAAAATCAACGTACTTTCACTTTCCGCCATGTGTGCACAATTACTGGGACCAGTACTATTGGTATCACTCGTGCCACTATCTTTACTTCCTTTCTGTTTCTTCTCCTTCTTCTTCTTTTTTTTCTTCCTGTCTTTCTTTGCAAGTTTGTCGTTAATCTCCTTTCGCCTCTCTTCTAGCGCGATCGAATTTAATCTGCCGCAACGTGTACGTTATAGCAATACAGTAGTAGAAACAAATGCGTGAAATTACAGTAAACAACGTCTTTCGTTACCTTGCTCTTTCGATAGCTTCATTTAAAATCTCAAATTCTGGCGAACGCTCTCTGGAATATCTCGTCTCAAGGATAGTTTGATCAACTATAAATGATTTATTCGCGTTGCTGCCTAAACCTTCTATGAGTCGTCGGATCTCTTGTCCAATCGGCCTAAAACACAAAGCTTTACATTTATTAACGATATTTCAACTAGCGATACTATCATATATACCTACGCTTTAAGTATTTCTTCCGGCAAATCAAGGATATATCTTGGAATACCCTCGCCTACTAAGAACTTACTAACTTCGTCTGTAAACGAATTGCAGTTGTGTTTGAAGAGGTTGTACGTACCCGGGCTGGAATGAACCCAAAATAATTCGATCATACACGACAAAACGAAATGTTTGTACGGGTGTGAAAATTTTCAGAATAACTCACGCGAACGTGGACGTCCCCAAGCCGCACATGTATTCAAAGAAGACGGAGTATGGCAGGTAAGTTTCGCCGAGTTTTTGCACTTGGTACGGCGCACCTAATCTCGTTCCACCCTGAAACAGAAAGTGAGAATTACTCGAATGTGATAAACCGCGAAAGAAAAAAAGAAGAATTCAACATTTGGAAGCGCATCAATGTCAGTTTTCCGACAGTTTTGCTTTAGTGGCAAAGTGCACTTCCCACCCCCTCTAATGTCAGCGTTCGCGTAATTTTAGAAGCGCGACAAATGCGTTACCCGGTAAGAAACGCTTAAAATAACCGGCCACTGCAAGGAGGATGCGTTCTCTGGTAAAATAAAACTGAAGAGATAATAACGTACCAGCGAGAAGGAGAAGGAAGTCACGAAAATGGCGTGAATAAAAAAAGAAACAAGAACCCCGGATACTTCGTGGCGAAAACAAATTTTTAGAGAGCTTAATGTAAAGAGCAAATTTATAAATTTCAACAGACGAATACTCTTAAAGAGATATTGAAATAAGTTAGTGAACGTACATAAACGAACAGATATGTTAATAATTCAAGTAAATTTCATGTCACTCAAGAGGAAAGAGAAAATTTTTTTTTCAAAAATAGCAAAATTTAGCTATCAAGAATTTTCCAACGAATACTAAATCACCGTGAATAAAAAAAGAAACAACACTTCTTTTCGTTAGAAACACAAGAAGAGAGAAAAAAAAAAAGAAATTCGTTTGCACCTACTGCTTCGTGTAAGAATAACGGTAAAAAAGAATGGAAGATCGAGAGGCGGAAAATCGGTGAACACGACACGAGCCGTTTCTTGTTTCTCGTCAAGCAACCACTCAAATACGAACTGACGTCGGGACCAACCGAGATTAGACTCCACGCAGCCGGCAAGCGTAACTCAAGATAAACGATATTCGAGTGCGCATGGTAGCGCGCACACTCTTCGCCGGCACCGGTTTCGGTTTGCTTTTTCAATGACGTCGCGCTTATGCACATCAAACAACACCTGCCAGTTGATCGTTCACCGCAGTATTGCTTGCGTCGATATTAATGACGGTCAGAGAAGCTGTTCACCGACCAACAAATGGTACGACGAACGATAACAAAGGAACCCAGTCTATCTCTCATTCTGATTTACACACGATCGAACGAAGAAAGATCGATGTCAAAAGTTCTTCACAAATTCATGCTACTTCGATGAAACTTGTAAACTGGTAAAAAAAAAAGCACTTGCACTTTACCCAGACACAGTGTTCCGTCAATTTGGTTAAATCTTTGATTAAACGAACCAGAAATCAAAACTCTAAAAAAAAAAAAAATTGTTAGTCGATATCTATTGGATGGAATAGAAAATTCGTTGATTCGAAAGAGGAATTTTTGAGAGAATAGAAAGATTGAAAATTTTAGAAATATATATATATGTATAGACGTTTGGCAAAAATGGTACTACGAGTATCGTTTTGCTTTCCGTACCAAGCTGAGTACCTTTGTATACGTATAGTTACCGCAGAAAGCTCGGCTAATAGTAAAATTGAATGGATCGATGTTGAGCCGCACAAGGAAAGACTTACCGATAGCTTTTGCCTTCGCAGTATCTAAACGACGAACCGGAGGACGGAAAGAGCTATGAGAAAGAGAGACAAGAGAAAGAGAGTGAAATAAAGCGGGAATTATTTTTGGCTTCAACCGGACCAAATTTAGGTACCCACTCCGTGTCTAGCGTATCGTATAGCTAGAATGACTCTCGCTACTACGGCTAGCGCGTCGCCCGATCGGTTACCATTTCGACGGTGGAGGATGCATTTCGGACAACTGAACTGTTTACCGCGAGCAATTTTCTCTAGCTAATTTTACGATCATACACGCGTGCATTCTATAGAGATAGAACGTTTATTATCGTACGCGGTGGAAGTTTATCGACACTCGATTACGCGTCCACGTTTTGCATCTAACTTTCCTTTTTGTGGGTTTGTAATTGTTTTGGAATACTTACAGGTCGAACACTTTGAATTCCAGACGGTCCGAAGAAGTATTCTCTTCCGTACGTCACGATTGCTGTATGCCATATTCCCTCTACGTGTTGACCTACGCATGAATAACAATATTTTCTTTTTTATTAACTATTAATTCGTTCGGATGAATTTATCTTGATATGTGAAAATTGCTTCTGTTTCACAGATCTGTGCAAACAATTTGAGGAAATTTCATTGAAGAAATTAGAAATTTCACGTTCCAAGAATTTTGCATAATTTGTAGTATACCGCGTCTTCTGATAGTTTTTTTTCTTTTTGTTGGTTTCAAGTTAAACCGGCGGATAGCAGTTGTAATTTATTTCGCTTCCATAAATTTCAGTACTGAAAGGCTCTTTAAATTGAAGTAATTAATGTGTGTTTAAAGTTCCTAGCATTCCTCAAAATGTGTAACTACTTTTGATTGACAGTGTACACTTGAATAACGCATCTCTGTATGAAAATATTTTGATTTTATTATTTATTGTATAAAACTGTATTTAAAACTAAACTATAATTTAGCATAGCAATTAACCAATCTTATATAAAAATTAACTAACCCAATCAAGCTCTAAAAAACTGTAACATTTAGATGTGTATACAGGATGTACCTCTGGAGCAACAGAAAAATATAAACAAACAGCTTATTACGCATCCTTGCTGTAAAATGGCTTTTCAAAAATACGTCAGAAAATTTTTATTCAATTTTCACATAAAGAATATGTTACATTAAACATGATTTTAATAAACAAGAGAATAAAAAATAAAAAAAAAATACCATTTTTATTTGTAATATTAAATATGACTTTAATAACCTTCACTAGGGCCTAGATTCAAAAAATTGTTTTACAGCAAGTAAGAAATTAAACAGAAAACGCGGCAAGTTGGTCTTTTTTATGATTTCGAAAATACCAGCTTGTAACAGGTTCAACGATACATTCTACATAAATTGAAAGAGGCATATATGCGCCAAGTGAACTCGAAGATCAGCGTGCATATATATATATTTTGCACAAGGACCAACGGACTCTGCGATCAAAACGACGATATTGTGGAAATTTCTTGTTCTAAAATTTGTCGTCACAGAAGTCCCTGACTATTTAGTCGGTAAAGTACAATTTCAGCTTGGTTGGACGATCTTCGGGCTCGTAATCGTCAGCTCGAGTCTCCTTCGACCCAGTTTCTCATTGCGGGAATAGCTAAGCACATCCGCGATTTTCTTATTGCAACGCGTTTCTGGGAGTGTCGCCGTGGTGAAATAACCGCGAGAAATAGCCACTCTACGGCCATCCGGCTCCGACAATTCGCCACTTACAGAAATTATGCAACACTTCGCCAATGCTTTTCAGCGATTTTTCATCAACCTAGAAAATATCGATTTTACAGGTGAATTGAAATAATAAAAAAAAAGAAGTTTAAATACCTCAACTTGAAATTATTATATTCATACGTGTTGCATTTTCATTTAAAGATTCTCGATCAGAGACAAGAAGAAGCTTGATCTTATGATTTACAGAAGTTCGGTAGTTCGTCGATAATTTAGCTGAAATTTAATCTTTCGAATTACAAAATATCAACGAAAGTATCGAAGAATAAACGAAATAATCAGAAATGTTCGATTCGTAAATACGATTGACACGTTTCTATATCGGTTAAACAACGGAAGAAAAAATAGACTGCAAAAAAAAAAAGAAGAAATGTTTGTTACAGTATATAATTTTCTGCTAGATCGAACGAATCTTATTATTCCTTTTTATCGTTCTACCTTGTGTTTTGACTTCGACAGGGTGCACCGATAAGGAAATTCAACGTCGAGGATATGTTTCATTCCTGGTTCGCATCTCCCGATTTCATTTGCACGATTCATTTTCGAATCGCGCACGCAAAAGTGCATAGCCGCATATTTATTTGTTTGTAAGGAGAATCGCGTGCAGTGCAAAATACCAAGCTCGCGAACAATTACAAGTAGTGTCTTCTGAAAATAGATCTGCAAGCACCGACAACTGATCATGAGTCGACGAACGAACCTTGGATACATGACGTAAACGCCTAGCAGAGACACGTGTGCACGCGTTGTATTTTACAACGATTTCCGTGGAATTTCGTTCAAATTCAATCCCCTCTTTCCTCCCCCATGTTTTCACGTTCTATTGCACCGTAGCACGCTTTCGAACTTCCTACGAAACAGTCCGTGTTTTATATCGTCGAATATCGTTATGCTTTCATTTTCTTTCATTTTCACCGTTGGCACACCAGTGGGGATCGTTGTGAGAAAATAAAGAAATTGTCTGTAACATGACAATCTAAATTTAGTTTCTCTTACTTGAAAATGTTGCTTTTACGAAACAAAAGAAAAAAAAAAAAATACAAAAAAAAAACGCGTATAAAAATTGAAGAATGTTAAAAATGTTGCTCACAAATGTTCCACTCCATATACTTAACGCGTATCTGAAACTTAAAGAGTACTTTAAGATCAACAAAACAACAAATCTACCGATCCCAATGTCGAACACGCTCATGCCAAGTTACCTTTGCCCTACAATTCGTTTCATTTCTACGATTGTTCTTGTTTAAATTGCTTCGGTCCCAAGGATTGCACGGTACGATGATTTTTAATTCATCGCGGCGGGCATTCGATAGCAAATTCGATACGTGACTCACGCGAATTCGTAATGAAACGTTGACGAAAAAAAACAAGTGATTCCGAAATAGGTTTTCGAAGAATTTATGAGATGTATTTTGGTTGTTTGTCTGCCAACAATTTTCATCGTAATAAAATTTATTCGTTATTAATAACGTGACCGATTTTTATTCAAACTTGCAGGCTCTATTATTTAATCGAAATTACAACACCGTTGCACAAGATGGTACGAAGTATGTATTAATCAGCTGAAAATTTCAGATGAAATATGAATATAACGAACCGTACGTTTTACGTTCATTACATTGCTACATGTACAAATTACTTCCATAAGTTAATCAACATATCATCCAACGTATTTACCGTAATAATTATTGTAGTTACTGTACTAATTCGATGCTTGTACTTCTTGAATGCTCGAATATTTATAGACAGTACTGTTATTATAAAAACAAAAACATTCGACGATTATGTCAGCTCTACTAAGCAAGATATTTATCAATTGTTCACCGAAGGCATCGTTAGTTATTCATTATTTGTCATTCAGTACTGAACTGTATGTAGTTTTTTTGAGAAACAGAAAAACAGGTTTTGCGTATATCATCTTCGCTATTCATGACTTAAAAATATCCAGTTGTTACTGTTTACTTCACACGTGTGTACGTAGTAGAAGACGCAGAAATGTATCTTTAAATAGCATATAACAAATTTTAAGTGAAACGAACAAACCAGTAATTCACGTTTTTCTCGAAAAATAATTGTTCGTCATTATTTTATTCAGTTTCAACGTTGAAACGATATACATTCTATTCGTAATAATGTTTTAATTTACCCATAACGAGAATAGACATCATAGAGGCGAGGCCCTTCGTAAGGTCATAAATATATAATTCCACGGTTGTCTTCGCATCTTCCGCGCTTTCCATCTTGCCTAGCTATAACAAAAAAAAAAAAGAGGAATGGATGCTTACTAAAATTACATTCGTTAAAAGAATAAAACAACAGTTAATTAATGGTTAAAATAGTTGGAAATAAATCAAAAGTACGAATTAATTAAGAATAAATAATTATTTGGTAAATTGATCGATAAGCGCATGCATCCCGTATAATGATAAAGCGTATTTAGTAGGATCGAAAATGCGCTATCATGTCAAACAAATGAAAGTCGAAAGTTTGATTCTGATTGGCTGACTCAAAGTTATCGACTAATCGATAAAGAATTTAATTTAAATCATTGCTTCAACTTTACTTACGATTGAAAACAAACTTTAAGGGCATAAATAAGCGTCGTAAATCGATGAACTTTGAATATTACATAAATCTATTTTGCGTACGGTGGAGAATCATCCAACGCACCTCCTTACGTCGGCTTTGATGGATGTAACGAGTAGAGGACGTAAATACTCTGGTTGCTTTGCACAACCAAACTCGTTCGCTTTAACTCGAGTTCTCTAAAAACTTCGTGCAAGCCTGACCATAGAAAGAAACTGCGACGACAAACGAACAATTGAGGGCTACAATTGTTTTAAAACGAAAAACTACTACACAGATAAAATATCTGTCAAGAAGAATTAATCGATTAATCGATTGCTCATGACACGCTTATCCGACAGCACGAGTAATCGATATATCGGGAGACACTGCTTCGACGTGCACATCAAAATTCGACTGTCGTGTCTCTTGAGAGACATTAGATTTTGTATTGGTGCTGACACTTTTCTCATCACGCATTAGATGGAGCACAGAGTATACACGAGATCAATACACACCCACGCTACTGATCAAAAATATGAAACCAGCTGATCTGGCTATTATTTTTCACAGCTGTGAGATGCAACAAGACTGAATCTATGACGAATATTCTTATGATCATACTGAATGTGGTCATTTAACGTACACTTTATGACGTGAACCTATTGCCGTGTTATTATCGCATAACGGGGAGGTTTTAATACGTGAAAATAAATTTTAAGACATGAATCATACTCCTAAATAGCTTAAAGCAAAACTCAGTTGTGAAATTACGAAAATTAAAGAAGGTTATTGTATCCATAAGCGTATTAAAGCTAAATGTTCTATACATTTGTAAACATATGACTTTATAGTTTTAAGCATGTAATTGTTACATTCAATGATTGCGCACAATTCATTCGGTACATCATATCAATCGCAGAGAATGAATCAGCAGTACATGATAGACTGAAACGTCCACGTTTAAACTGATTGGTTACGCGGTTTTTACAAACGCGTTGCTCTTTCACGACTTTTTTCGCACATGCGACAGACAAAACGCTGTAAAATGTTTTATGACAACTAAAAACACGTATCATATTTACCCTACTTAAAATTATTTAAATGTTTCCAAAGAAAATTACACGCGCGAGCGCACACATTTATATTTTGTAGAAACAAAAACAATTGCAAAGCTAAAAAAGAAAACTGTAACGGTATGAAGTTTAACGAAAATATAAGGATAAGTAATTGGTAGTAAAGTAAATAGGAAAAGTAAAAAATAATTAAAAAATTTTGTACCTACCTTTTTGTTTTCATTGACGATGGTCTACTAACAGGTGGATCGATTATTAGGATACATGAACAAGGATGATAAACAAGTGATAGCTCAAAGAAATAAATACTATGGTAGGATAACTTGACGTTATTACGTCAAAGCGACTGAGCAATAACTGATACTGGACAATGATATAACACGTTTCAGACGTACACCTCTTGCTTGATGGCTAGTAACTAACAAATGCAACTGATCGCGTCGAAATCTTCGTCGGAGTCAGAGACCAGTGTGGAGACACAGCGCGGTAGTCGTTCTTGCCAGGAAGAAACGGTAAAGAGGTAAGAGGGTCATCGCGCGAAGGCAGCGCCTGCCTACCGGCATCACGGCCAATAACTCAATGCATTAATACACGAAAAGTCACATTTTAAACGAGTTGTTGAAACATACAAATATTTCTACAGAGTTTCTGTTTTCCATGTAGCGCAACATCTTGAGTTCTAGTATCAAGCACCTTTGATAGAATCTAAAAAAATACTACCCTTGGCAGAAAGTCTCTGATCAGACATATGAATACAAAGGTAATTGTATCTTAAAGGTATAAAATGTTATTATATATGACCAAGTGCAATAGGCAAGTAAGATTAACCTTGTATCAAATGCATAATTGCAAAGTAACAAAAATTTTTGTTTATTACTAAAATGAACACAGTAAGATACTAAAATGTTGCACAGAAAAAAGTGTTTAACTGACAGAATGTTTACAAAAATGTTTTCACTCATTATAAATGATCTGATAGATAAGAATAAGCATAAAATTATAAACAAAGATTAAAATACTGGAAATGTGTTACATATAAACAAACAAAATCAATGTTAAAACAAAATTTTTTCCTCTAAACTAACATAAGTAAAAATGTTTATAATGGTGTACAGATTTGCTTGGATAAAACTTTATAAAAAATTTCATAAACTTCAAATTTTAAACACAAATTTTGGAAATTGTACTTGATATAAAATTATATGATATACATATATAGGAATAGAAACATTGTATTTAACCTATCAGAACATTAATTCAGAAATAAATATCCGTATCTTATACAATGAAATTTAATTTAAAATTCTCAAAATTTCATCTTCCAATATGTTGATACCAGCTACCATTATAATAAAGTAATCCAAAATTGTTTGTAACATAACAAGATTAAAATAATAAAATGATCAGCTCTAATTTGAATTTCATTGAAGATTTATAACAAAAAATTTAATTAATAAGAACAAGATATCAAAATAAAAGTAAACTTAGAAAAGTCATGCAATTATCGTGGAATAAAATTTCAATAATAGATTGTAGAGGTCTTATAATATCAACACTGCAGTGTGTCAAAATTGTTATCTTCTATATATGTAGTGGCTCATAAAAGTATTCAAATGTTTACATTTAAAAATTTTAATCAATGAAACTTGTATGTTAAACTGAATTATTTAAAATAGTATGATGTCTATAGTAAGCAGGAAGCCTCAAGATTATATAAGTAAAATTAGAAAATAATTTAATAACATATGCAATATTTACAACACATTTATTCCATACATACTATCAGTGAGTCACAAAAGTACTTGAACTGTCCAAAGTTATCGATGTCTCTTAATACATCTTAACACTGAATGTAAACAACAGCACTTCCAAGTACCAAGGAAGAAGTCTTAGATTAATAAGGCAAACCAAAGAAAGATTAAATTTTGCAAAAACCTATATATTAACAAAGATAATGCTTTCTGGGAAAAAATAATATTCTTAGATGACTCTAAACTTAATATATTCAGCTCAAATGATTGAAATTATCTTTAATGAAATTCAGTGTATTTAGTAATTTTTAACTTATTTAAGTTCTTCAGATACTACTTACTTTTCAAGAAATCTGAAAAACACATTGCTTTGTACTAAACACAAATATATGTATATATTTTACTGGCTTTTAACAGTATATAATTTTATTGTATTCTTATAATGCAACAAACTTTATCATACATGAATTTTATTTGATATAAGTGTGTTTGTAAACTGTATTATTTTAAATATAATGTAAATAGATATATACTAACTCATTTTTTTTCCCTTT